TACTAGTAGTAAGTTATTACTAGTACCTTTGCTAGTAATAATAGTATCAGAAGAACCAATCCAATAAACTAGACAGAAAACGTGCGAGTGAGAGCTGGACATGTTTTCCAGTTGGTCGTGAAAGGGGAAAAGAGCTTAAAAGGCCACCACAGACGGCTGCCAATAGTGCTGCTTTTCTTCTCGGTTTCTCTTGGGAGAACCGACCGTCGTGCCATGGGCAGGGTGCGATTATCTGGCCGTTCCAGCCGCCTCGTTTCCAGCCAAAATTGCAAGAGTCTGCGGGATCAAAGATAATTTGTCACTTTTCTGCCTCTTTGTGGGCGATGATATGCTTAAGGAAGTGGTCCCGGGGAAGCAAAAAGTGTATGACGCTGTAAGAGTCTGTGTAACAAAAATGTTTACACTTTCTATTAGTTTTAGGGAGGTTCAGTGTCTGTTACTCGAAAATAATGGAGTTTTAAATGCAATGAATTTCCAATGGGCGCGTGGCACCCTTGTTTGGGTGGCGTATCAGAACAGATATGACATTATGACTGACACTGGGGGGAAAGGATGGTGGTGTGGGGTGATGGGTGACATTTTAGGGTGAAGGGTGGCGCAGGAGTGATTGGGGAGGGGGGTGTGGAGAGCAGAGTGACATTTCAGTGTGGGGGGGTCTGGGAGAGAGGGGAAAGGGGGGGATGGGTAATTGGTGCCACTAGGGAATGAGAAAGAGGGTTCCACGAGGGACACGCCCTACATACCCCCTCCTCTCACTCCCTTCTCCTCACTCTTCTTCCATCACTCCCCATTCTGTACCTCCTTGTGGTTTCTCACACACACACACAGGTGTGCAGTCTCGTTTATCTTTCAAAATGTTTCAAGATAAAGTCTCTCACTTCAGTATAGTCCTCTCACGCCTCTGTTTCCTGAATATTTTCAAAGTTTTTTTTTTTTAATCACACGAAATGATTTTTTTTTGTAATTATTTTGTTGTTGCTTTTGTTTTCGTTGTTTCCATGTCCACTCTGGTGTATTTGTTTCAGAAGACGTGTCCTTATTTTAAATTCCTTCTCACCCCATAGAAATATACCTGTGTTTTTCTTCTGGTGTGAATAAATGTACGTGTTCTGGTGTAGATCAGCGTTATGTAGAACAAGCATGTATTGGGAGAACTTTTCGATCCCCATGTTTCCCAGAGCGAAACATGGTGAAACTAATGAGAGCGAAACGTTGTTCCAATAAAAAGCTCGTTCTGCTAAACGTGTCTTCGGCATTGTGGGCAGTACGTTGTTCATTTCCAGCTTGATTTTTCTGCAGTGAGCATACTTTCCTGGCAGTGTTCTTGGTGTTGGTGTGAACAAGCTTAGCTGTTCTGGATTTTCTGCTGAGAGCAAACTTACCTGTTAGTGTTCTTGACTGTTGTTCTGTCAGTCACCTGTCACCCATGATTTTTTATAGTGTGGGAGGCAAGGTGACAGGGCGAGGGGTGAGAGAGTGGATAGGTGAGAGATATAAGTGGTGAAATAGAAATGCGAGAGGGAGTAGTGGGAGATACAAGCCGGGTGAGAGGGAGGAGAGGGGTGGTGCAAGTGATAGTAGTAGTGGTGGTGGTGATGGTGATAGCTGTGAGTCATGTTTCACGGTGTTAGCGATGGTAGTTGTGGTGGTAAGCCAGCTACTATGGTGATGGTAGTGAACTGGGAAAAGTTTTAGGTTGTAATGGTGGACTAAGAAAGAAAGCTCTTGCCTTAGTCCAGACTAGATGGGAAGAGGTGAGGATACAGGTGAGGATAGAGGGAGAAAGGGATTGTATAGGAGGGGTGTGTGCCTCCACCCCTCTCCTCTGCTCATGTAAGACTCCTTTCCCTTTCATGTCAGACCACATCCATATGGAAATCAAAAATCCTCTTTCGGGATCGAATCTTTGAAGATTCCCCCCCCCCTTTCCAGCGCCTCCTTACTTTTATCATGATATCTAAGGGAGACTGCTGTAGCCTCTTACTCTCCCTTCCCCACCCTCTTCATCCTCTTCTCCCCTCTTATTGCTTAACTTATCTTAAATTTATTTGATCCATGGTTTTCTTCTGTATGACCAGACTTTGCATTGTGGGCACAAGAGGCCACTGTGCCTTCAGTTCTTTATTCTCGAATATCCTTTCCTGCTCTTCCTGTTTAAATAGCTGGTTAATGTCTTTTTATTTTGTCTATCTTCGTACTGGATCTCTCTCTCTCTCTCTCTCTCTCTCTCTCTCTCTCTCTCTCTCTCTCTCTCTCTCTCTCTCTCTCTCTTCTCTCTCTCTCTCTGGATCTCTCTCTCTCTCTCTCTCTCTCTCTCTCTCTCTCTCTCTCTCTCTCTCTCTTCCTGTATCTTTCCCCTCCTCTGAAACTACATAAATATGCGCATCGTCTGTGGGATTGAGAAAGCTCGATCCTTTTTTGGGGAGTTAGTGGGTTTTCAGAGGACCGATCCGTAGTGATCTCCTGCCCTGGGGATTAATGGTATTCAATATGTAAACATGTTGCCCAGATCGGATTTTGTGCAGGTCTGGGGAGAGAGGCACGTTTCTGGTCGGAATTTTCAGCGTACCTGGGCGACTTTGACTGAGCTCTTTTTTTTCATCTCTCCTCTTACATCTGAGAGGAGACAGAAATCTAGTCTTCCTTTACGCCCCTCCTCCTCTTCCTCAGACCACCACTACCACCGCCTCCACCATCCCTCACATCTAACGGGAGAGTTTATTGTACGTTTCCCCTCTCCCTCGTATGCGTGATGCTGATGTCTGTCTGCCTTTTATGTTCAGCAGAAGCTCAGGGTGGATCACTGCGTGGTGAGACGTGTTTTGTGGCCTGGCTCACTGGTTTGGTCTGCCTCCTGGTGGGTGACCTGGCTCTCTGGTTTTGTTTGGCCTCCTGGTAGGTGACCTGGCTACCGTACTCTGGTCTGGCCTCCTAGCAAGTAGAGTTACAGTAGTTCTCTGCTGTGATCTCCTAAAGACTGTCTTGACTAAGATTCTCCGAGAGAAATCTCTGCTAGCAACCTTCACAGTATGTTGTGTAAGCATTTCTTTCCGGCTTATCCAAATTCATAAAACACATTTATTTACATTAGTGACACAATTTCAGAGATCACTTATTGCCCCTGAAATGTTTACTCTTATCGAGAACTCGTTCGGAAATGTTTATCTACATTTAGAAGTCGTAATGCCATCTGTGTTAGAAGTCTTCCCTTCGAGCGACATTGAACTGCGTATTGTGATAGACGCTTCTTTTCATTGAACTCTTCGTTTGATTTCCTCGTTTAATCTCTCGTTTTATCACCATGGGATTTTGTGATTCCCTCGTTTACTTTGGCGTTTTATCATCCACTCGCAAGGGTTTTCCCGTGTCCTATCGTCTGACCTTTTTTGTTTGTTTTTGTTACGTGCAATACTGGTGCACAACAGACAAGATGAGGAATTAGACACATGTGCAACAACTGGGTATGTTTATCAGACGACGTTTCGTCCACTCTTCGTAAATCATCTCTGTATTGAATTAATAAAGCGACGAGTCTGCAGGTATTGCACTTGTGTCTAATTTTCCTCTTCATTTTACTCATTCGTCCCCATCCACCTTCTCTTTGTTCCTCCCTAGTTTTCTCTTATCATTTTTTCCCTCTTGCTCTCTCTCCCTCATTTCCCAGCTTCGTGTTCGCTTTCTCCCTCTCTCTCTCTCCCTCCCTCCTTTCCCAGCCCTCTTTTCTCTCTCGTTCTCCCACCGTCTCTCCCTCTCATTCTTTTGCTCTCACCCTCTCTTCCCGTCCCTCCCATCTCTCTCCTTCTCCTCCCATTCCACCCCTCCTGCCTTCCCTTAAGGACCGTTTAAAGCTCCTTCAGTTTAGGTTGCAGGTCACGTAACCATCAAATTTCCACGCTATTGTGGTAGGCGCCGCTGTGGGCCAGGCCTGTTATTACTCCCTCCTGTTCTGCCTCCTTGTGCCTCTTGTTCTCCTCCCTCCCCTCCCTTCCCTTATCCTCCCTCTGCGCCTGTTCTTCCTTTTTTTTTCTTCCTCCGCTTCCCTCTACTTCGTTTCTCTCACATTACTCCTGTATTTCCATCAATGTTTAGTCCAAATGCTACTAGTGTTTATTTCGCTCTCAACCCCCTCCTCCTCCTTCTCCATCTCTTCCCCAACACCGCTGACGTGTTTCTTTTCCATTCTCTGTGTCGTCTCTCCCACCTCCAGCTGTGCTCTCCCTCCCTCTCTCCCTGTCGCATCTTCTTTCTTCTTCTATTACACGTCGTCTCGCCCATTCCTCGTTCGTATGTTTTCTTTTGTTTGTTTATCGCATCCGTCTCCAATTTCTGTTGTTGCTCTTGTTTCTGTTGTTCATGTGACTATTGTTGCTGCTTCTATTCCTCTCTCTCTCTCTCTCAAGGTTCCTCTGTGATTATGCCCTTAAGTTTGTTTAATCTTGTCTGGATGCGCTAAACCCGTAGGGGCCATGAAGGTTGAGGGCTAAAATTTTCAGCTGCAGAAAAAAAATTTCTTCGTAAATTTCCCGTAATTATATTTTAATTTTACAATTTGAAAAAAAAATTAATTTCATTTAGTAACTAGTTGATGTAATTATGATCAAGGAGTAATTTAATGTTAAGCTGTCCTCTGTAGGCCTACAGGTCCGGTAATGACGACAGGTCAGACTTCTGCGGGGGGGAGGAGGCACGTTTCGCTCTAGGCCGAGCAGAAACACTGTCCCAACAAAATCTATCTTCTGTGTTTTCCATAGATACTGACAAATAATTTAGTTATAATCAGTTATTAAGAATAATTTTAATGTAGTTATAATACTGAGCAGTAACTCACGTGGACACAAAACACAGAAGGTTAATTGATCTGTATATTGAGCATTGGCAAGTGTTTGTTAGTTACATTTTAGTTATCCATAGTTATAATTTTAAATAACTTCATTTGGAACTGTATATGATTCTCTTGATGAGACTGACAGCAAAAAGAAGGGAAAAGAACAGTGATAATAACAGCAGTAATAATATCAGTGATAACAGCAGTGATAATAACAGTAATTATAATAGTGATAACGGTGAATAACACGAAAAAAATAATTCCAAACGACAATAATTCCAGCATTTATTAGATCAATATTAACGGAACTCCGGTAATATCAGCATTACACATACACAAAAACACACACAATCGTCATTAGTATTACACACACAAATAATGCCAATATTATACAACAGTAATATTGTAATATAAACCAGTAATACCGATATTAAACACAATACCAACCACTCCCAAGAATAGGCCTGGAGCATCCCAGGGTTTAAATCTCCTTTAGCTATGAGAAAACCAGCTGTAGGACTTCGTATAAGCCAGCCATCGGCTCTTCTATCCTGTGGTGTCCTTCCGTCTATCGTAGGATGCCTTCCCGTCCACGCTCCAGTGTCCTATCCTCTATACGGGCAGGCCACACCGTCAGACACGCGTTCTGAGGATAAAATTGCTTAGGATAAGAAAACTGGGCTTAAAAAAGGCTGGGGAAAGTGAAAAAAACTTACGGCTAGATATGCCCTGACTGGCTGGGCAGAGCAAAGGATGCTGCAGGGTAGGCGTGGCCTCGTTAACTAGGGTTCTTAGGGTCAATTGGCTGCGTTGTGTGTCTTGGTCGCCGACCCGAGAGCGAGGAGGAGTGTGGGAGGGAAGGATTGACAGGGGTAAGCAGAGAGAAGTGTCAAGGAAAAGGGAAGAAAAAAGGATTGACAGGGGGGGGGAGGGAAGGAGTAAGGAAGATTGACAGAGGGGGGGTGAGGAGGAAGAGAATTCACAGGGAGGGAGGGTGAGGAGAGAGGTTTGACAGGGGGAGAATGAAGAGATCAGTTGTATTTAGAAGCATCGTATACTTCCTCAATTTGGAATATATAAATTTCTCAGTGTATATACACAGGTGTGGTATGAACCTTGACATTAGTCTGTTTAACCTCTGTGTGTTAGAAGTGATCAAGGTCCCAGGACCAAAACGTTTTCTAATTAATATGTCCTAGTGTTTGGTTACCTGTCTTTCTAGCCTACACAAGAGTATATACATCGAGAGATGTATATACACATACAGTATACAAAGCAAGAGGTACATTTAATGTACATAAAGCAAGAGGTTTGTAGTTCTCAGACAAGAAAAATATCTTGTTTTCTTTGTAAAGACTAATACATCTCCTGTACGTACAAGCACACACAGAAACACACACACAAAGCACTTAGACGTGAGAACATAAAAATAGACAGAGCAATAGAGGCAGATAGCCACAAGAATAGATGCCAAGGTCAAGCTAATTCACGGACCCTCCCGTCAAATATAGTCAAAAAAACGCCGACCAGATAAGAAGCTTGCATACAAGCCAAAAAAAAAAAATTGGAAAAGATTACCGAATTAAAAAGCAAGTATTTGTGTGGGTTATACAGCGCTGTGTAGAGAACAAACACACACACACAGTACTTGCTGGACAATAACAAAAAAAAAAAATGCCCAGAATCCATGAGGCACAGAGATACTGATAGGTGAAAGGAGACACGTCCCTTAACACCCATTGTACCTGTTCACCTAGCATTAAGTAGGTACCTAGGTGTTAGTTGAGTGATGTGGGGGAAATCTGAAAATGCAAAACATTAATTATGAAGACGACGCTCAAACGCAAACCCCAAGAAATTCTAGTCAGAAATGACTTGGATATCAATATTTACTTCTAAAAAGATAATAGCAATTAAATCCCCAGTAATAACAGCAAAAGCTTTCAGAGCCAAACGGAATACAGGTAACCCTAAGAACGCAAAGAGGCTCTTAACCGAGAGAGAAACAGAGGGCAAACTACTCGACGGGTGCCAGTCCTGTACAGTAGCAGTGTTCCCATTGAGAGCCATCAGTGCCAAGTGCCATCCCCACACTCACCACTAAAGTGAGTGACCAGACAAACTCCAGTAGCTGCTGCTACACTCACGCACTCTCTCTTCTAACCTTCAATGGAATAATATTTATCTTTTGACGGCAGCTATTACTAAAAAGATTTGTCTGTACGTGTGTGTGTGTGTGTGAGAATATAAAATAATACGAGTAAAAATAGAAATAAGTTTAGCCATTTTTTTCTCATTTTGTGCATACATATTTATATATTTACCATTATTTTCATTTGCCTGTTCTGTTTTTCTTAAATTCTCTCTCTTTGGACAACTTTCTTGATTATTTCGTTTACTTCTTTGCAGACGATCTTGAACTCAATGCACAAGTACCAGCCGAGGTTCCATCTAGTGAGGGCCAACGACATCCTGAAGCTGCCCTACTCCACCTTCCGAACGTACGTCTTCAAGGAAACGGAGTTCCTCGCCGTCACCGCCTACCAGAACGAGAAGGTGAGTAATGTGTGGGCTCAGTCGCACGTCTCCTGTGTAGTTGGTGTTTCTGGGGAGCATTGCCCCCGGGGCACGGTCTCAGGCGACACGTCTTGGGTGCCGGGAGTGGCTCAGGTCGTGATGATAGTGGCGAGATGTAGTGGAGACTGTTGGTTACTGACAGTTTATAATGACTGGTGATATAGTCACATGCTGAGTGATATGCGTGGGTGGACATTAAGGGTGTGGGGAAGACAGTGTGGGTGAGACAGTGATGGATGGAAACTGTGAGTGTGGAGGTGTGTGGGAGACAGTGGTGGGTGGATATAGGGGGTGACGAGGGCGGGAGTGCTGGTTGGGAGAGGTATGGACAGAGATAAGAATCAAATTAAGCGCTAAACCCGAAAGGATCATACAGTAGTATGGGTGAAGATGCGGTGATGAGGGCGGGGTGGTGGTGGTGATGAGGGCGGGTTGGTGGTAATGACGGAGGCGTCAATCAAGGCTGCCGACTCACGCTGGCCTGCTGACACTTGCCCGAAATGATCACCGCTGTTTTCTCCGTCCTTCTCTCCTGATCCTTGCCTATTTTTTTTTTTTTTTTTTTTCAAAATTTCCCTCTCTACCAACACAGAATCCTCCGAAGTTCTTCTCCCCCTCATCCCCTCCGGAAAACACCATTTCAACACCGCTCAGACTACGAAATTCTCGAATAAATTTTAAACCAGGATAAAAATACAGCCATGGCAGGGACAAAGTCGGAGCCGCGTACATGGATACGGATGAAGGAGCAGTGTTGACACATGTCACTGGCGGGACTAGGGAGGTCGACCCCTAATGTTATGATTCAATTACTCTCCCGTGGATGATATTTTATAGTCATTTCATCATCTTTATTCTCGCTGAATTTTAAGTAAGAGTGATTGTGGGAGAGATAGAGAGAGAGGGAGGGAGAACAACACTAACCTTCCCTCGTCCCGGCTCCCTCACGCTCTCTCCATTCGTAATTCTTGTTTTGATTATTTTAAACTTTGCTCGGGTGGACTTTAGAAACGAAAATTTTTTGCCTATGTGACTTTTTTTTTAGCAGGGTTTAACACCGTGTAGGGTGACTGCAGGGTTGAACACAGGCAGAGGCAACTGAAACCTGTGGCTAGGTGAACATTAGTAAGGTTCAACACTGTGCAGGGGCAGGCGAAAGTTTTTACTTATGTGGCCAGTAACAGGACTGAACACCTTGTAGGAGTAGATGAACCTTTCGCCAGAATAATAATAGAAGGTTTGAACACAGTGCAGATGAACAGTGAACCCTTGAACTATGGAGGTTCCCCAGCATCCATCCACGATAACAAATGTATAGGCGTATAGAAGAGGGAATATGGAAGAAGGGAAATGGGAGAGGGAGAAGCAGGAAATATGAAACAGAGCGAGAGATGACATGTAAATTCACTGATATGAGCAAGGAAACTCGCCCTTCCCTCAACAAGAGTACAACAAAAACAGAGGCGCATCTCCACTGGTGTTCTGAGAGGAGCGACCGAGCGATATTTGCATGTTATCACGTCCAACTTGACACACCACAACAAAGATCTTCCAAAGCTGACATTTTTATATATCGATGAATATAAATTTGACCCCCCTACATCCCGTCTCTCTCTATCATTCTCTTTATATACCTTCCCTTTCTCTCCTATTTCCTGTAATCAGTTAGGCTTTCAATTCAACCAGCATCTGACTGTAATAGCAGTGATACACATTCGTCAGGAATTAAAGTTAGCTGGTGTCAGAAATTTGATCACGCAGAACCGTGGAACATAGTGGCACTATAAGAGGGCCATAGGATGTGGCGGCACAATAACAGGACCATTACAAGTGATGACATAACAAGAGAGACTGTAACCATGGGATGCTGCAGTTCGGTGGGTTATTTGAACTTAGATGTCTGAGCACTTACAGCAAGACAACTGTTGAAGGAATCATGGTTAATGTGTTTCTTTTTTTTTATATATTTGGGGGAGGGGAAGGGGTCATCCTGCCTCAATGAGAGACTGCCAGTATGTTATAAAAAAAAAAACATTAGATAGACTGAAACCCGGAAATAGATAGCATCATGCAGAGTCTGTTATATTTAGAGATCATTAGGAGTGTTTACTCATTACTTTGAAACATATACCGTTTCTAACATTATCAAGTTTACACTTATCACTTTCAACTTGCTACTGTCATATTCCATAAGTCATATTCACCATCTGGAATTTCAGGTGGGCTTTAAAGCCCACCTGAAGTGGCCAGCTCACTTAAAACCATCATTACCCCTCTCACTCTTTATCCATAACCTTAGATTAGGTTAGGTAAGGTTCGTCAGGAAACATAAGTGTTTCCTGACACGGATCTTAGTCATATGATGACTAAGATGCTTTTGGGCAACTGACCTATAGCCTATTCACTGCTTTATCCTAACTCACTCCTAACAACAAATAATAGCACGATACAAGTTAAAGTATTCGAAGTCATATATCGACCCTCCACAATCCATATTCGCTCCGTGCCACTATGAGTATCAGCACATTTAGATGAAAGGAAAAATATAGCCATTATTTTTGTCGAAAGAGATGCTGGGTGAGTGGCACCCTGTTTTCCTGACATGTTCCATCACACAGGATGCATTACATAGCGTTGAAATCTGTCAGCCTGAGCCAAGTAGGGCAATGAGGATATCGTCATGTATTCCATGAAAGGTTCATCAGCTACGACAGCCTCCAGGATTTCGTTCCAGGAGACGTTGGAATTTCCATTACTCGGGAATATCTTTCAAGATAATCAGCATCGGAGGGCCGAGGGAATAGCACAAGATGTGGTGATGACATGTTTATCAGCAGAAAAGAGTAAGTCTTGTAGCATGACACGATGTTTTTTAATTTAACAAAATTGGATACACCAGCAGTGTGCTGCAACCCTAATTCCTATGACTATTTTATAGAAGGAACAAAAGCCAATTATATTTCCCCGTCATATTCCATTACGCAGGATGGGGCTCATATATCGCGTTGATGTGTGTCAGCCAGAGCTAAGAGACTTCATCAGAGCAATGAGGATCTGGTCAAGTGTTCCATGAAGAGTTCATCAGATACGACAGCTTCATATGTTTCGTTCCAGCATAGCTGGAGTTACTGTACAGCACTTGGGAATGACCATCTCTCTGGATAGCTTATCCCAAGAATGACACCAAACTAATCCTGGTAGGGGACACCCAGTACTTCCCCACCATAGTGTGGTGGGAAAGTACACGGTGGTCCTTCTGGAGGTACTCCTCCTTCAGGCATCGTCAAGAAGTACTGTCAAGTAAAACAAGGAAATATGCATTTGCTTTGAGCAGCCTCGTCCTCCCATCTTAATGAGCGTAAAGCTTCGTGGTGTCCTGTGACTTGGTAGGCAACTCACTCGCTTCACACACCGGCATGGGCGAAAATGTTGGGCATGTTTCCTTACGCCTGCTGTCCCTCGTCACATAAAAGTAAGTAGGTACTTGGGTGTTAGTCGACTGGTGTGGATGGCATCCTGGGGGACAAGATTGAAGGACCACAGTGAAAATAAGACAAACATTCCTCAATGACACACCAACTTTCTAGGGTTATCCTGGGTGGCTAACCATTCTGGTTAAAAATCCTAACAAATATTATCTTAATTAACAATAATGTCCTGCCCGCTGCCACACATTCCCCTTCCCTTCATTTTTTTTATTATTGTTGAATAAAGCGACTCGAATTTAGAAGAATGTTAGTTAAATTAAACTTAACCTCAGTTAAGCCTTATTCATGTGGGTCAGTTTTTTATAAGTTTAGAAATTAAAATAAACGCATTAGACTTATAAACTGAGATCGTCGTGATCTCAGTTTCTCCACTGCTCACCATCACAGTCTATTTTCCACTCATCTCTAAGTCTCTTCTGAGAGTTTCTTAGTTCTCCATCGTCTTTCTCTGCTCCTGGACGCTCGTGACTCCGTACACCTCGTCATCTCTTTCCTCAGCAACATGCCAATTAGCTCCATTATTTCTCTAAGTCGTTGGAAGTGTGGGGGTAAAATCTATTATCTGTGCTCCAGCGGCTGCCTTCCTCACCGGAGAGGTGTAATGGTTTCCAAATATTGGTGTGGATAATGGCGAGAAACTCTGGAGATCTGGGGTTTTTAGTTACTCCAAATTGGCGACGATTCTTGAAAAGTTTGTCAAGTTCTCGTAAAATTATTAACAGCTGTTAAGTAATCTGACGTTTTTCCTTTTTTTTAATGGCATTTTTGTTATTTGTGTAATATATATATATATATATATATATATATATATATATATATATATATATATATATATATATATATATATATATATATATATTATTAATGTTGTGGTTGTTAATGTTTTAATGTTAGTAGTAATTTTGGTAAAATTAGTTAAATATTTTCGAATTGTTCTTTAAAAATGACTCAGACACGCACGCACACATGCAGGCGCGCGCACACAAACACACACACAAAGACAGGAGCTAGAGCTCTCTAGCCCCTCACATCCATGTTAACCAAAGTGACTCGCCTAATTCTCTCCTTGTTCTCCCTGGCTAGATCACCCAACTCAAGATCGACAACAACCCCTTCGCCAAGGGCTTCCGGGACACTGGCGCAGGAAAGAGAGAGAAGAAGTAAGTATTTCTTGAGCATGTAACACAGCTATTCTAAGATCTCAACACTGTACGAGGAGAGAGAGGCAAATGTTACACTGATTCCTGGGTCTGCGTAAAACCCGCAAGGGCGTTACTGCACCTGGGGAATGGGAGAGTGATCAGGTTTGATTCAGGGGACGCCCAAATTCATTGGATCAAGAGCCGTTCACCGGCATCAAGGAGCCTCCTATATGTATGCATGTATATATGTCGTGCCGAATAAATAAAACTGGTCAGTTAGTAAGAACTCATTTAATATTAAGTCCTTTCTAAAATTTTCTCTTATATATTTTTTTCATGTGTGTTAATGTAAAAATTAATAATTTTGTACCGAAAAAAAATTAGAAAACTTACCTAACGTTATTATAACAAGCGCAATATAATTTAGCCTAATCCAACTAAATATATTTTAGACAAGTTTACAATAATTTAATAAATAATCACAATAAAATATTTTTTCGTTAGGTCCAGAATGATTTTTGCTAAATTATTGCATACACAAATTTTCGTTTGCCTTATTCGGCAAGAAGAGCGTTGCTATTTAAGCCAAAATCGTAAGTTTTACCTATTCGCCACGACATTATACACACACACACACACACACACACTTCACAAGAATTTAAGTTAATAGTTAGTAATTATACTTTTTCAGTATGGAAATTGACACAGTTATTATTTCGAACCTTGAATAATATGCATATACAAACATATTTTATTTTAATCAGATTTTTTTCGTTCTGTTGAGCTTAGCATAACACAAATTAATTACGACACTAACACGATGTTCTTCAGTTGAGATATATCACGATATGACGCACACAGGAAAAAAATATATATGTGCCGATGATACATATGTAAATGAGTTGTTGGAATATATTTCTGCCATATCACTGCGTACATTTTCCCGCTGTGTCAGCAGCATCCAAAGTTTGCCGGAGACAAAACTGTAATTAAACATAACTAATTCATATTGGTAATTAGTGTGGGCACAAAAAATGAGTGTGTATTAAATAATATGCAGGATGAGCATAATTATTCCACTGGCGTGTATATTACACCGTAAAACGCTCACTCGTTAGTTAGCTCAGCTCACCTGCCAGCTCACTCGCTTATCAGACTGCTCACTAATTTGTCAGCTCACTCACTAATTCGCCAGTTCACCCGGCCATTCGTTCACAGTGCTGTTTAGTATCGCCTCGATGGATATAAACAAAGTGTTCTCAAGGACTGGGGAAACTAATCACGCAAATGAGCCTGAGAGAGAAAGATGCAAGAAGCGCATCTTTTCTTCTGTTGGCATCTTGAGTAGCAAATCCTTGGAAGTACCGGGAGAAGCAGTAGTGACGGTAAAGTCTCTCAATATGTTAATTCCTCAGGCGCACGCAAGCGAGCACGCTCGCGTTGGTTTTGCGGGCCATCTGGAGAGTGTGAAAAAGCTGTGAGGCGTTCATTGAGAAGTATTCACCCGTAAGTCGGCAATTCTTTATGCAAATTTTTCAAAGAGCTTCTGAGGGACTGACATGTGGGCCACTGAGCCTTCTTAAAGTCTTGAAATGGTACATTTCAAGGGGTTAATTTGTGATATAATGGGCTTAAGGGAAAAGGAAGCGGGAGGAGTTGCAATGGGGTATGTATTCTTAAGGAAAAAAGTAAGAGGAAAACAAGAAAGGAAGTATAAGGGGTGACAGGAGAGGAGTACAATCGAGTACATGGCCGGGAAATGACATAAGGAAAAATGATCTGTAAGTTTCGAACTCGAGAGACCCTCTTCAGATCTCAGAACGGGTGGGGATCGAACCTATGTTAAGCGAGTCTTAAAACTCGCAGGCCAGTGTGTTAGCCACTGGACCAGGCCAGTCTAATAAAATTCGTCCAACTAGATATATTTCCATACACTACAGAACCTTAGCATGGTGTCCCCTGGGACCACAAATTCAGCTTTTTTTTTTTTTACAGATGAATCTCACGCCTGCTGACGAGGGTCTCAGTGCCCGCAACTTCATGTCATTTCTACTCAGCTTTTCATCTCCCGTTTGTCTTGGGGTTTACCTGCTAGACAATACCTGGAGTATACCTGGAGAGGGTTTCGGGGGTCAACGCCCCCCCCCGGCCCGTTCTGTGACCAGGCCAATGAGGGGTAATGAAAGGCACTTTCAGCAGGGAAATCCCTTATTATACAACGTTTCGTCCAAAGTAGTGCTTTATCATGCTACGTTTCATCTACTGTCGAATTTTAATATACGACATTTCATCCACATTACTGCTTTATGAAGAACTTGGTAAAGCTTCCTAAAGTATTTTTGACTGACCACCTGGGGATTTACCTGCTGACTGGGCAGTGTTTGTGACACTTGCAACACAAGGGCACACGAGTACCCTCGCATAATTGTGGTAGCCTGGAGCAAGTTGTAGCTCCAGGCTACATGCACTAATTTCGTAAAAATCATTCTGAACTTAACGAAAAAAAATATAATTCATTGTATTTATTACTAAATTATTGTAAGCTTATCTAAAATATATTGGATTAGGCTCAATTAAATTTCGCTTGTTATAATAAGTTTTCTAAGGTTCTTTTGGTACAAAATTATTTATTTTTACATTAACATAAATGAAAAAAAAATATTTTTAAACGTATAAGAAATTTTTTTAGAAAGGACTAATTTTAAATGAGTTCTTGATAATTGAACAATTTAGGCTATTCGGCACGACATATATATTGAATGACCTGATGAGAATGGAGGAGAATAAGCAATCTTGATGCCCATGATGCTCTGTATCTCCTCATAAGGTGCCTTACTATTCCAAGACTCACTTCCTCAGGTGTGCACCCTCTTTTGACAACCCAACACTCGACGAATATGACGCACACCTGAGGTCAACCCTTAAGAAGGCACTGAACCTGTCACTAGAGGATCAGCAATGGGATCAGGCAACCCTCCCAGTGCGACTGGGAGGTATAGGGGTGCGCAAAGCAACGCATGTTGCTTTACCTGCTTTTCTCTCTTCATGTTTGGCTTCCAGTGCTTTAGTCAAGAAGATTGTTCCCGAACGCTTGAGAGACATGGTAGGAGCTCAAGACCCCAGGTTTACTGAAGCAGCGATTCGGTGGGACACCCTTACAGATTCCTCCAGTAGACTAGGTCCTCCCAAAGAACACAAACAGTCCCACTGGGACAAACCGATCATGGAAAAAATCGCCAACACAATGCTCTCCAACGCCTCAGTAAAGGACAAAGCTCGTCTCCTGGCAGTGAAGGCACCACACTCAGGAGATTTCCTGTTTGTTGTTCCCAATTCCTCCTTGGGCACTCGACTAGACCCACAGGCCTTTCGGATTGGTGTTGCTCTTCGCCTAGCCGCCCCCATCCTCACCGAACATAGGGCGACAGCTGATCAATTCGGACTTCATGGTCTCGTGTGTCACACAGCAGAAGGGAAGCATGCCAGGCATGAGGAGGTCAGTGATATCGTAAAGAGAAGCCTCGCCACAGCCCGTTGCCCAGCTCAACGGGAACCCCAAGTGCAGAGGTCTGACGGAAGTCTAAAGCGTCCTGATGGAGCCACTATGCTACCTTGGAAGGATGGAAAGCAGATTGACTGGGACTACACATGTGCCGCCACAATGGCAGACACCTACTTGCCATACTCCGTAGTGGAAGGGGGTGGAGCTGCCAGCCACAGGGAGACTCAGAAGATCCTCAAATATGAAGACCTTCCCCCTTGCTATAACTTCATCCCAATAGGGTCAGAGACCCTTGGAGCATGGGGCAAGTGTGCTCTAAAGTTCCTAATAGAGCTGGGTGAAAAGCTCATCATAGAAACAAAGGACCACAGGGCGACCAGCTTCCTCTTCCAGAGACTCAGTGTTGCGATCCAGAGAGGAAATGCCTGCAGCATTCTGGGCACGCGGCCCACCGCCGGGGAGCTGGACGAAGTATTCGAGATGTAGCTCTGAGTTACCTATGTTGTTTTACTTTGTATCGTAGTTTTGTGAATGTTCTGTCAATGTATTTTGTCTTTAAATAAAATTATATATATATATATATATATAATATATATATATATATATATATAGGGGTGGTAGGAGAAAATTCTCAAACGGCTTCAGGGAGAATATTGAGTTTCCCTGAGGATGAGGGTCCCTATAACAGTTCTAGAGTGGTACCTCCCTATATATATATATATATATATATAATATATATATATATATATATATATATATATAATATATATATTTATATATTATAATATACACACATACACATTTGGATCCGTGCTTCGAGTTCGCCTCTGTCAGTTTCCCCTCGCTGAATAAATTCATCCCTAAGTCATTTTAATTCCTTGAAGTGTTCAATTTCCTGCTGTGTTCCCTCGTGGTGATCCCTTCCTTTGTCCTGTCCATCTTCGGTTCCCGGAGTGTCTTAGATTAGATTTTGTCACCGAAGCAGTTTATTGTGCACTCCGTAACCATCCTGTGCACGGTAGCGCAAGAGTATTGGGATAAAATGAAAAGGCCTAGGAACTAGGCCCCAAAAGGTTAACAGGAGTATCTGCGTATTTATATCTACACTCCGTCTTATCTTTTGCCAGCCAATTTAGGATATTTAATGTGTCCGCTGTCTTATTTTCATTAACAAGAAAAAGAGTTAGAATCTACGCAAAAATAAGATCAAGAAATCAGGATAAAGTAGACGATGTATAAAGTTCTCAGAGAGATTTTTTTTTTCCATTTAAATTAATTATATTTATGGATGACCTGTGGGAGGGGGGGGGTAAAGGGCTTTAACAATACCATTCACATTGTACATTTTTTGAAAGTTTTCTTCTTAGTTATATTTTTTTTAAATAATCTAAAGACTAAAGCTAAGAAAACAAAAATAGGAAAATTTGTATTAATGTTGGTAGAATTACCGACAATATGTTAAGTAAGAGGCTCCTTAAGAGCGAAACGTTGCCACGATGAAATGTCGCATTAGTTG